TGGTACTCTGTGGTGCTGTATGGTGCTTTGTGGTGCTCTGTGGTGTTCTGTGGTGCTCTGTGGTGCTTTGTGGTGCTCTGTGGTGCTCTGTGGTGCTCTGTGGTGCTCTGTGGTGCTCCGTGGTGTTCTGTGGTGGTCTGTGGTGCTTTGTGGTGCTCTGTGGTGCTCTGTGGTGCTCTGTTGTGCTCTGTGGTGCTCTGTGGTGCTCTATGGTGCTCTGTGGTGCTCTATGGTGCTTTGTGGTGCTCTGTTGTGCTCTATGGTGCTCTGTTGTGCTCTATGGTGCTCTGTGGTGCTCTGTGGTGCTCTGTGGTACTCTATGGTGCTCTGTGGTACTCTATGGTGCTTTGTGGTGCTCTGTGGTGCTCTATGGTGCTTTGTTGTGCTCTGTTGTGCTCTATGGTGCTCTATTGTGCTCTATGGTGCTCTGTGGTGCTCTGTGGTGCTCTGTGGTACTCTATGGTGCTCTGTGGTACTCTATGGTGCTCTGTGGTGCTCTATGGTGGTCTGTGGTGCTCTATGGTGCTCTGTGGTGCTCTATGGTGCTCTGTGGTGCTCTGTGGTGCTCTATGGTGCTTTGTGGTGCTCTGTTGTGCTCTATGGTGCTCTGTGGTGCTCTGTGGTGCTCTGTGGTGCTCTGTGGTACTCTGTGGTGCTCTGTGGTGCTCTATGGTGCTCTGTGGCCCTAAAAATGTGTTCTTTTGAGAACTTGCTGTGTTCTCCAAATCTAGCATCACTGCTCTTATCTGCATAGGGAAAGTTCACGTTTCCTTAATTTGTTTATTATTGTATATTAGAATGTGTTCTAATAGGTACCAATGTGTCACCACATAATGAATGTAATGTAAAGAATGTAACTCCACATACATTCTTTAATCCCTTCAGCTGTGTTTGTGACTCTTGTTGCAAGAGTTTTCTAAAGAATGATGTCTTCCTTTTTCTTATTTGTCAGCTGTGAACAAGGGATTATTGAACAGTGGGATTTATTCGTGTTTTGCCTCGAGTGGCATTGAATTTTTAGTGGTTATCTTGAGATGATTTCGGGGCTTTAGTGTCCCCGCGGCCCGGTCCTCGACCAGGCCTCCACCCCCAGGAAGCAGCCCGTGACAGTTGACTAACACCCAGGTACCTATTTTACTGCTAGGTAACAGGGGCATAGGGTGAAAGAAACTCTGCCCATTGTTTCTCGCCGGCGCCTGGGATCGAAACCAGGACCACAGGATCACAAGTCCAGTGTGCTGTCCGCTCGGCCGACCGGCTCCCTAAGGTAGTGGAGGTAGTTTCTGCATGAAGGTTCCGGGATCGAACCCGGAACCTTAGGACTATGAATCCGAAGCGCTGTCCACTCAGCTGTCAAGACCTTTCTAAGGGTAAAAATCGTCGTGCTGGAAAATGGAAGCGGCTGGTGAAATTGACATAGTCCCGTTTTCTGTTTTGGGTCCTCTGGTTGGTTAGGGTAAGGGCATTTTAATACGACGGTTTCTTGACGTAGGAAACCTTAGGAAGACTGGCTGGGGCACGAACCATTGAGCCGCCGACCCATGGATCGGATTTCGTTCATGTCTTCCAGGGGCCAGATTGACGAAGCAGTTACGCAAGCACTTACGAACCTGGGGCCAGATTCACGAAGCAGTTACGCAAGCACTTACGAACCTGGGGCCAGATTGACGAAGCAGTTACGCAAGCACTTACGAACCTGGGGCCAGATTCACGAAGCAGTTACGCAAGCACTTACGAACCTGGGGCCAGATTCACGAAGCAGTTACGCAAGCACTTACGAACCTGGGGCCAGATTGACGAAGCAGTTACGCAAGCACTTACGAACGTGTACATCTTTCCTCAATCTTTGACGGCTTTGGTTACATTTATTAAACAGTTTACAAGCATGAAAACTTGCCATTCAACTGTTGTTATTGTTATAAACAGCCTCCTGGTGCTTCGGAGCTCATTAACTGTTTAATAATTGTAAACAAAGCCGTCAAAGATTGAGAAAAGATGTACAGGTTCGTAAGTGCTTGCGTAACTGCTTCGTGAATCTGACCCCAGGTTCGTAAGTGCTTGCGTAACTGCTTCGTGAATCTGACCCCAGGTTCGTAAGTGCTTGCGTAACTGCTTCGTGAATCTGACCCCAGGTTCGTAAGTGCTTGCGTAACTGCTTCGTGAATCTGACCCCAGGTTCGTAAGTGCTTGCGTAACTGCTTCGTGAATCTGGCCCCAGGTTCGTAAGTGCTTGCGTAACTGCTTCGTGAATCTGACCCCAGGTTCGTAAGTGCTTGCGTAACTGTTTCGTGAATCTGACCCCAGGTTCGTAAGTGCTTGTGTAACTGCTTCGTGAATCTGACCCCAGGTTCGTAAGTGCTTGCGTAACTGCTTCGTGAATCTGACCCCAGGTTCGTAAGTGCTTGCGTAACTGCTTCGTGAATCTGGCCCCAGGTTCGTAAGTGCTTGCGTAACTGCTTCGTGAATCTGACCCCAGGTTCGTAAGTGCTTGCGTAACTGCTTCGTGAATCTGGCCCCAGGTTCGTAAGTGCTTGCGTAACTGCTTCGTGAATCTGGCCCCAGGTTCGTAAGTGCTTGCGTAACTGCTTCGTGAATCTGACCCCAGGTTCGTAAGTGCTTGCGTAACTGCTTCGTGAATCTGACCCCAGGTTCGTAAGTGCTTGCGTAACTGCTTCGTGAATCTGGCCCCAGGTTCGTAAGTGCTTGCGTAACTGCTTCGTGAATCTGGCCCCAGGTTCGTAAGTGCTTGCGTAACTGCTTCGTGAATCTGGCCCCAGGTTCGTAAGTGCTTGCGTAACTGCTTCGTGAATCTGGCCCCTTGTCTGTGTCTAAGATCTGAAATCTGTCATGAGACACAATTGGCCTTATTAGGCGTAGGATGTTTCTCGTTATCTTCCTCCCAGACCCTTGTTGGTCAATACCTGAGAACCTGAACTTCTCTACCTACTTTTACCTACTTTACCTACCTTCTTGAGGTTATCTTGAGGTGATTTCGGGGCTTTAGTGTCCCCGCGGCCCGGTCCTCGACCAGGCCTTCACCCCCAGGAAGCGGCCCGTGACAGCTGACTAACACCCAGGTACCTATTTACTGCTAGGTAACAGGGCCATAGGGTGAATGAAACGCTGCCCATTGTTTCTCGCTGGCGCCCGGGATCGAACCCGAGACCACAGGATCACAAGTCCAGTGTGCTATCCGCTCGGCCGACCAGCTACCTTAAGAATCTTCTTTTACCTACGAGTTTCCATTGATCGCAGGATTTAATTTGTTTATCAAGGGGAAAGCGCTAAGCTATTACGACTATATAGCACTGGGAAGAGGTCAGGATAAGGATTTGGGATGGGACGGAGGGAAAGGAATGGTGCCCAATCACTTCTGGACAGTCGAGATTTGATATCTTTTTGTTTTTGGCTTAAAGACGACGTTTTCTGTGAATGTTGTACCAAAGTTGTGTTGAAGTTATGTGATAACTCAGACATAAGTTTTTCATAAAGATGTAATACATCTAATTTATTATGGTGTATGACGCTTAATGTTAGTTGTAGAGGGTGTGAAAGCGTTTTGGCATCAGTTTTAGGCCAAAAATACACTAATGAATGTTTTTTTGGTGAAAACATTAAGGTGTATCTTATTGACTAAAGGTTTTCTCTACCTTTAAAGGTATTTTCTTTACCTTTCTAAAGGTATTTTCTTTACCTTTCTAAAGGTATTTTCTTTACCTTTCTAAAGGTATTTTCTTTACCTTTCTAAAGGTATTTTCTTCACCTTTCTAAAGGTATTTTCTTCACCTTTCTAAAGGTATTTTCTTCACCTTTCTAAAGGTATTTTCTTCACCTTTCTAAAGGTATTTTCTTTACCTTTCTAAAGGTATTTTCTTTACCTTTCTAAAGGTATTTTCTTTACCTTTCTAAAGGTATTTTCTTCACCTTTCTAAAGGTATTTTCTTCACCTTTCTAAAGGTATTTTCTTCACCTTTCTAAAGGTATTTTCTTCACCTTTCTAAAGGTATTTTCTTCACCTTTCTAAAGGTATTTTCTTCACCTTTCTAAAGGAATTTTCTTCACCTTTCTAAAGGTATTTTCTTCACCTTTCTAAAGGTATTTTCTTCACCTTTCTAAAGGTATTTTCTTTACCTTTCTAAAGGTATTTTCTTTACCTTTCTAAAGGTATTTTCTTTACCTTTCTAAAGGTATTTTCTTTACCTTTCTAAAGGTATTTTCTTCACCTTTCTAAAGGTATTTTCTTTACCTTTCTAAAGGTATTTTCTTTACCTTTCTAAAGGTATTTTCTTCACCTTTCTAAAGGTATTTTCTTTACCTTTCTAAAGGTATTTTCTTTACCTTTCTAAAGGTATTTTCTTCACCTTTCTAAAGGTATTTTCTTCACCTTTCTAAAGGTATTTTCTTCACCTTTCTAAAGGTATTTTCTTCACCTTTCTAAAGGTATTTTCTTCACCTTTCTAAAGGAATTTTCTTCACCTTTCTAAAGGTATTTTCTTCACCTTTCTAAAGGTATTTTCTTCACCTTTCTAAAGGTATTTTCTTCACCTTTCTAAAGGTATTTTCTTCACCTTTCTAAAGGTATTTTCTTCACCTTTCTAAAGGTATTTTCTTCACCTTTCTAAAGGTATTTTCTTCACCTTTCTAAAGGTATTTTCTTCACCTTTCTAAAGGTATTTCTTCACCTTTCTAAAGGTATTTTCTTCACCTTTCTAAAGGTATTTTCTTCACCTTTCTAAAGGTATTTTCTTCACCTTTCTAAAGGTATTTTCTTCACCTTTCTAAAGGTATTTTCTTCACCTTTCTAAAGGTATTTTCTTCACCTTTCTAAAGGTATTTTCTTCACCTTTCTAAAGGTATGTGTTCCTGTGTTCATTCTGAACATTCTACAGCAGTGTTTTTTTTTGTTTACTCATGGGGCTGTTTTCTGATATTCTAAAGACCTGCCACTTGAGGGGTGGCGACCCCCCCCCTTCCCCCCATTGATGGTGACGACCCCCATGATGGTGACGACCCCCATGATGGTGACGACCCCCATGATGGTGACGACCCCCATGATGGTGACGACCCCCATGATGGTGACGACCCCCATGATGGTGACGACCCCCATGATGGTGACGACCCCCATGATGGTGACGACCCCCATGATGGTGACGACCCCCATGATGGTGACGACCCCCATGATGGTGACGACCCCCATGATGGTGACGACTCCCATGATGGTGACGACCCCCATGATAGTGATGAGCCCCATGATGATGGTGATGAGCCCGGTGATGGTGGCTACACACAGTTTAGGAACGACTGGCCTTGAAGGTCATGAGTTACAAAGACACGACTCAGTCTGGGACATCAACACTCAGTAACATAGACACTCCACAGAACCCATCAGACCAGATCAAGCAGGTGCAATTAATATGCAACTGCTCACACACACGCACACACATATATATGTATAACCATCGCTTGAAACAAACCCAGCGACCCCTGCATCGATTTACAATGTCCACCAACCGGTTCTGTGTACACACAAACCCTATTTTGAAGCCTATCTTTCTGCTGCCTATTCGCTGCATCTCCCAATTAAAGCCAGTTACTGCGTGTTCTGTTTTAACCTCTTTAAACCTTTAACCTTTTAACCTCTTCTTTAACAGTCTTTATCACATTATTTATATTTCTCTCGTTATTCCCTTTTGTTTATTACAATCATGTCATCCCTTATGCATCATTCTTCAGAATGTAAATTAGGCATAATGTCTCTCTTCGTAAGCAAGGGAAAGATTACTAATACTTGGGGTCAGCTTCGATCTCTTGCTCCTCCTCCTGCTCTATAGATATTTAAGAGTATTTACAACCACTCTATAGCTTATGCAGACGAGGAGTCACAATAACGTGGCTGAAATATGTTGACCAGACCACACACTAGAAGGTGAAGGGACGACGACGACGTTTCGGTCCGTCCTAGAGTATCCGTCCTAGTAGACATTGAAGAGTATTTACAACCACTCTATAGCTTATGCAGACGAGGAGTCAAAATAACGTGGCTGAAATATGTTGACCAGACCACACACTAGAAGGTGAAGGGACGACGACGACGTTTCGGTCCGTCCTGGACCATTCTCAAGTCGACTTGAGAATGGTCCAAGACGGACCGAAACGACTTAACCTCTCCTGGAGTCGGTCGGCCGAGTGGACAGCACGCTAGACTTGTGATCCTGAGGTCCTGGGTTCGATCCCAGGCGCCGGCGAGAAACAATGGGCAGAGTTTCTTTCACCCTATGCCCCTGTTACCTAGCAGTAAAATAGGTACCTGGGTGTTAGTCAGCTATCACAAGCTGCTTCCTGGGGGTGGAGGCCTGGTCGAGGACCGGGCCGCGGGGACACCAAAGCCCCGAAATCATCTCAAGATAACCTCAAGATAACCTCCTATCTTCTAGGATGTGATTGGTCATCACTTCATGCACTAATTAGGCCATTGGACCGCGGCTGTCATCACAAGATGAACGAACCACCTTGAGGTTACCTTGAGGTGCTTCCGGGGCTTAGTGTGCCCGCGGCCCGGTCGTCGACCAGGCCTCCTGGTTCAACGGGAAGAACCACAACAGTATTGTCCTAATTGGCAAGTAACAGGGCCAATATGAACCACTTGATCACTACAGTTGTTCACTCAGAGTGGGTGTGAACAATGGCGGACTTTAACAAGCGGAACTATTCGTGGCTGTAACTAGCAGCCTTATTGGCTTCTGGTGTGTGTGTGTGTGTGTGTGTGTGTGTGTGTGTGTGTGTGTGTGTGTGTGTGTGTGTGTGTGTGTGTGTTGGTGTGTGTTGGTGTGTGTGTGTGTTGGTGTGTGTTGGTGTGTGTGTGTTGGTGTGTGTGTGTGTGTGTGTGTGTGTGTGTGTGTGTGTGTGTGTGTGTGTGTGTGTGTGTGTGTGTGTGTGTGTGTTGGTGTGTGTGTGTTGGTGTGTGTGTGTGTGTGTGTGTGTGTGTGTGTGTGTGTGTGTGTGTGTGTGTGTGTGTACTCACCTATTTGTACTCACCTATTTGTGCTTGCGGGGGTTGAGCTTTGGCTCTTTGGTCCCGCCTCTCAACCGTCAATCAACTGGTGTACAGGTTCATGAGCCTACTGGGCTCTATCATATCTACATTTGAAACTGTGTATGGAGTCAGCCTCCACCACATCGCTGCCTAATGCATTCCATCTGTTAACTACTCTGACACTGAAAAAGTTCTTTCTAACGTCTCTGTGGCTCATGTGGGTGCTCAGTTTCCACCTGTGTCCCCTTGTTCGCGTCCCTCCAGTGTTGAATAGTTTATCCTTGTTTACCCGGTCGATTCCCCTGAGGATTTTGTAGGTTGTGATCATGTCTCCCCTTACTCTTCTGTCTTCCAGTGTCGTAAGATGCATTTCCCGCAGCCTTTCCTCGTAACTCATGCCTCTTAGTTCTGGGACTAGTCTAGTGGCATACCTTTGGACTTTTTCCAGCTTTGTCTTGTGCTTGACAAGGTACGGGCTCCATGCTGGGGCCGCATACTCCAGGATTGGTCTTACATATGTGGTATACAAGATTCTGAATGATTCCTTACACAGGTTCCTGAAGGCTGTTCTGATGTTAGCCAGCCTCGCATATGCCGCAGACGTTATTCTTTTTATGTGGGCTTCAGGAGACAGGTTTGGTGTGATATCAACTCCTAGATCTTTCTCTCTGTTCGTTTCATTAAGTACTTCATCTCCTATTCTGTATCCTGTATCTGGCCTCCTATTTCCACTGCCTATTTTCATTACTTTGCATTTACTCGGGTTGAACTTCAACAGCCATTTGTTGGACCATTCACTCAGTCTGTCTAGGTCATCTTGTAGCCTCTTACTATCGTCCTCAGTTTCAATCCTCCTCATAATTTTTGCATCATCGGCAAACATTGAGAGAAACGATTCTATACCCTCTGGAAGATCATTTACATATATCAGAAACAGTATAGGTCCAAGGACCGACCCCTGCGGTACTCCACTCGTAACGTCTCGCCAATCTGAGACCTCACCCCTCACACTGACTCGTTGTCTCCTGTTACTTAGGTACTCCTGTATCCAACGGAGTACCTTCCCTTTCACTCCAGCCTGCATCTTCAGTTTTTTCACTAGCCTCTTGTGTGGCACTGTGTGTGTGTGTGGGGGGGGGGGGGCAGGCGCAGCTGGCCAAGTGGTGACCCCCCCCCCCTGGGACAACAGTGAGAACAACGGAAACAACAACAGTGGGAACAAACAGTGAAAACAACAGTGGGAACAACAGTGGGAACAACAGTGAGAACAACAGTGAGAACAACAGTGGGAACAACACTGAGAACAACAGTGAGAACAACAGTGAGAACAACAGTGGGAACAACAGTGAGAACAACAGTGGGAACAACAGTGGGAACAACAGTGAGAACAACAGTGAGAACAACAGTGGGAACAACAGTGGGAACAACAGTGGGAACAACAGTGAGAACAACAGTGAGAACAACAGTGAAAACAACAGTGAGAACAACAGTGAGAACAACAGTGAGAACAACAGTGGGAACAACAGTGAGAACAACAGTGGGAACAACAGTGAGAACAACAGTGAGAACAACAGTGGGAACAACAGTGGAAACAACAGTGAGAACAACAGTGAGAACAACAGTGGGAACAACAGTGGGAACAACAGTGAGAACAACAGTGAGAACAACAGTGGGAACAACAGTGAGAACAACAGTGGGAACAACAGTGAGAACAACAGTGGGAACAACAGTGAGAACAACAGTGGGAACAACAGTGGGAACAACAGTGGGAACAACAGTGAGAACAACAGTGAGAACAACAGTGGGAACAACAGTGAGAACAACAGTGGGAACAACAGTGAGAACAACAGTGGGAACAACAGTGAGAACAACAGTGAAAACAACAGTGAGAACAACAGTGAGAACAACAGTGAGAACAACAGTGGGAACAACAGTGGGAACAACAATGAGAACAACAGTGAGAACAACAGTGGGAACAACAGTGGGAATAACAGTGAGAACAACAGTGAGAACAACGGGAATAACAACAGTGGGAACAACAGTGAGAACAACAGTGGGACCAACAATGAGAACAACAGTGAGAACAACAGTGGGAACAACAGTGAGAACAACAGTGGGAACAACAGTGGAAACAACAGTGGGAACAACAATGAGAACAACAGTGGGAACAACAGTGAGAACAACAGTGAGAACAACAGTGGGAACAACAATGAGAACAACAGTGAGAACAACAGTGAGAACAACAGTGAGAACAACAGTGGGAACAACAATGAGAACAACAGTGAGAACAACAGTGAGAACAACAATGAGAACAACAGTGAGAACAACAGTGAGAACAACAGTGGGAACAACAGTGGGAACAACAATGAGAACAACAGTGAGAACAACAGTGAGAACAACAGTGAGAACAACAGTGGGAACAACAATGAGAACAACAGTGAGAACAACAGTGAGAACAACAGTGGGAACAACAGTGGGAACAACAATGAGAACAACAGTGGGAACAACAATGAGAACAACAGTGAGAACAACAGTGAGAACAACAGTGGGAACAACAATGAGAACAACAGTGGGAACAACAACTTTCTTTTGACCCACTGACTTTCTAGTGGGTCTGTTGACTTTCTAGTGGGTCTGCTGACTTTCTAGTGGGTCTGTTGACTTTCTAGTGGGTCTGCTGACTTTCTAGTGGGTCTGTTGACTTTCTAGTTGGTCTGCTGACTTTCTAGTGGGTCTGCTGACTTTCTAGTGGGTCTGTTGACTTTCTAGTGGGTCTGTTGACTTTCTAGTTGGTCTGCTGACTTACTAGTTGGTCTGCTGATTTACTAGTTGGTCTGCTGACGTCTGGTGGCCGGCTGGTCGTCTGGTGGCCGGCTGGTCGTCTGCTGGCCGGCTGGTCGTCTGCTAGCCGGCTGGACGTCTGCTGGCCGGCTGGACGTCTGCTGGCCGGCTGGACGTCTGCTGGCCGGCTGGACGTCTGCTGGCCGGCTGGACGTCTGCTGGCCGGCTGGTCGTCTGCTGGCCGGCTGGTCGTCTGCTGGCTGGCTGGACGTCTGCTGACCGGCTGGTCGTCTGCTGGCCGGCTGGACGTCTGCTGGCCGGCTGGTCGTCTGCTGGCCGGCTGGTCGTCTGCTGGCCGGCTGGTCGTCTGCTGGCCGGCTGGTCGTCTGCTGGCCGGCTGGACGTCTGCTGGCCGGCTGGACGTCTGCTGGCCGGCTGGTCGTCTGCTGGCCGGCTGGTCGTCTGCTGGCTGACTGGTCGTCTGCTGGCTGGCTGGTCGTCTGCTGGCTGGCTGGACGTCTGCTGGCCGGCTGGACGTCTGCTGGCTGGCTGGACGTCTGCTGACCGGCTGGTCGTCTGCTGGCCGGCTGGACGTCTGCTGGCTGGCTGGTCGTCTGCTGGCCGGCTGGTCGTCTGCTGGCCGGCTGGTCGTCTGCTGGCCGGCTGGTCGTCTGCTGGCCGGCTGGTCGTCTGCTGGCCGGCTGGGCGTCTGCTGGCCGGCTGGACGTCTGCTGGCCGGCTGGACGTCTGCTGGCCGGCTGGTCGTCTGCTGGCTCCTGCAGGAGGAGCTGTAAACGTGGAAGCTTGTTGATTACAGCAGTTCAAAGTGGGTGTTCCTTTTTTCTGCAGGAGTGGGGGGAGGGGGGGGGTAGCCTGGGGCCAGGGGAGGGGGGGCGTGGGTACCCCCTTGACCAGGGGAGGGGGGGGGGGGCGTGGGTACCCGTTTACCAGGGGAGGGGGGGGGGCGTGGGTACCCCCTTGACCAGGGGAGGGGGGGCGTGGGTACCCCCTTGACCAGGGGAGGGGGGGCGTGGGTACCCCTAGACCAGGGGAGGGGGGGGGCGTGGGTACCCCTTGACCAGGGATGGGAGGGGGGGCGTGGGTACCCCAGGGTAGGAAGGGAATTGGGGTACCCAAGGTACCCAAGGTCCACGCTTGGGGATGGGGGTATTCCATGGCAGGGAGGGTGTTGGGGTACAGTCAATTTAACAATGCGCAACAGATAAGCATCGAACCCAGACCATCCACGAGGTGGAAGTGACCCATCAGTTTCAACATAGCCATCCAGTCATTAACAATAATTCAACACAATGTTCTATGCTGGACTCCGGACAGAACATTGGAACTCAGCAACTTGTACAGAGAAATAGACCCTGATATAAGACTCATTAACAGCCATGGGAAAATGGAAAGTGAGAAGATGAAGATCTTCGACAACAAAACTTACCAGGTCAACAGAGCTGACCAGGCCAACGATGGAGCGGCAATTGCTGTAAGGAGAAATATTCCACACAAAATTGTAGGTAACTTTCAAGAAAACTTCCTGGCAATTGAACTCCAAACTATGAAAGGTATAATCTTCATAGGAACATGCTACCAACCACCAAGACGTCCTTACCTTCCCCTTGCCGACATCATGAAACTCACCAGAAGGAACAGACCTGCCTACTTTCTGGGTGATCTGACCACCAAGCACAGAACACTGGGACACGGAAAGAACAGCCAAGCAGGAGAAGCCATCCACAATATGATAAGGAACGGAAATCTAACCCACCTGGGCCCAGACTTCCCAACTTACGTCAGACAAGGCCACAGTGGTAAACCAGACATAATACTGTCAAACAACCACCACCTCCTAAACACCCACATAGAAAGGGGCTCTGTGAGCACAAGCGACCACCTACCAATAATAATGACACTATCAACTAACCCTATTCAGAAACCCTCACCACCAAGACTTCAATACACTAAAACTGACTGGGAAGCGTTCAAAAGCAGTGCACAGGAAATCACTGTCAAAGACTTTAATGGAAAGGAAACATCATGCATAAATACAGAGTTAAATACATGGATTAACACCATAAAAAATTGCATGACTGATCACATTCCCGTAGCTCACCACATAACGCTCCCACACCCCCCAGCCACCGAGGCGCTCAGGACACAACAAACCAGGTATAACAACCTTCTACAACTCATAACACAACACGGGTGGACGGATGAGCGCAAAAGACTACAAAGGGAACTTCAAGATGAGCTGCAAGATCTATGCAAAACAGAGTACACCAAACAATGGGATGACCTAATAAGCAAAACCCAAGTCGACTACAGAAACCCGGGGAAGTTCTGGAAGAAAGTAAAAACTCTGATGGGAAACTTTGCTGAGGAAACACCCTACATCATAGACGCCTCGGGAAATAAACTCTATGAAGAGAGAGAACAAGAACAAGAATTCAGGAAGTTCTGGGAAAAATATTCAGGATAAACCAGGAAGAAAATTTAAACTTTTGCCTCATTAATGAAAGGAAAATTACAACTCAAGTCGATAAGAGCACTACTCCCGACGCAAACAATAGACCTTAACAACATACGCGATGACTGCCACCTTATGAAACACATAACCATTGCGGAGGTCCATAAAACAATTATGGGTTTCAAGAACAAGGCGCCGGGCAACAGCAGAATAAATAAGATGGTATTATCCAACCTACCAGTGATTGCACTCCATCAATACACATGTATAATAAATGCAGCTCTTGCATCTGGACTATTCCCCACATACTTCAAGAATGCCACAATAAGATTAATCCCCAAGCCAGGTAAACCCCCAACCCAAACTGAAAACTACAGGCCAATTTCCCTCCTCGAAGTACCAGCAAAATATTCGAAAAAATTATCAATCAGAGACTGGTGAAGTACACGAAAGAGGAAGGGAAGTATAACACCAGGCAGCATGGGTTTAGAAACCGCAGAGGGACCCATACAGCTATAGCCCTGATCTACCAGCATATAGCCAACGCAGTGTCGAAAAAAGATCAGTGTAATATAGTGCTTAGGGACGTCTCGAAAGCCTATTCAACATATATACAGCTGACCTACCCCAACCCCAACATGGAGAATACATCACGTACGCTGACGATGTCACCCAAATAATTTGCCATCCGGGATCATCAAAGCCGCTACTAGCCGACAAGACCAAGGCAGCAATTGAACTCATAAACAGCTTTGAGAAGCAATGGAAAATCAGCACCAACAAACAAAAGTTCCAGATAATACACATTGCGAAAAGAAACCCGGACCCCATCATCCTTGACAACCATCCGACCCAATATGCGGAGGTCGGCAGAATACTGGGACTTATGATCAATAGAATAGGGATAAAAATTCACGTAAGGGACCGACTAAACAAAGCCAAAGCAGCCTTACGAAAATTGAGGAGATTCCGAAGCCTCAGTACTAACATTCAGATGCACCTATATAAGGCACTAGTTCGGCCGCATCTAGAGTATCCCCCAGTACCACTACACACTATAAAGAAAACTAACATGCAGAAACTGCAAGCAGTACAAAATAAGGCGCTAAGGAGAGCAGCAAAACACCGTCCACCATATGATCAGACAATCCAGGAGCTCCACGAACTCCTGAACATACAGCCACTAAACATCAGACTGCAGCACCAAGCCATCAGGGTGTGGAACACCATCGAAATGTTAGAGGACCCAATGTTAGAAAGATTACTCCAAGATGAGACGCCCCGCTCCCACAGCTGGTGGCCCAAGATGAGACGCCCCACTCCCACAGCTGGTGGCCCAAGATGAGACGCCCCGCTCCCACAGCTGGTGGGCCAAGATGAGACGCCCCACTCCCACAGCTGGTGGCCCAAGATGAGACGCCCCGCTCCCACAGCTGGTGGGCCAAGATGAGACGCCCCGCTCCCACAGCTGGTGGCCCAAGATGAGACGCCCCACTCCCACAGCTGGTGGCCCAAGATGAGACGCCCCGCTCCCACAGCTGGTGGCCCAAGATGAGACGCCCCACTCCCACAGCTGGTGGCCCAAGATGAGACGCCCCACTCCCACAGCTGGTGGCCCAAGATGAGACGCCCCACTCCCACAGCTGGTGGCCCAAGATGAGACGCCCCGCTCCCACAGCTGGTGGCCCAAGATGAGACGCCCCACTCCCACAGCTGGTGGCCCAAGATGAGACGCCCCACTCCCACAGCTGGTGGCCCAAGATGAGACGCCCCACTCCCACAGCTGGTGGCCCAAAATGAGACGCCCCACTCCCACAGCTGGTGGCCCAAGATGAGACGCCCCACTCCCACAGCTGGTGGCCCAAGATGAGACGCCCCACTCCCACAGCTGGTGGCCCAAGATGAGACGCCCCACTCCCACAGCTGGTGGCCCAAGATGAGACGCCCCACTCCCACAGCTGGTGGCCCAAGATGAGACGCCCCACTCCCACAGCTGGCCCAAGATGAGACGCCCCGCTCCCACAGCTGGTGGCCCAAGATGAGACGCCCCACTCCCACAGCTGGTGGGCCAAGATGAGACGCCCCACTCCCACAGCTGGTGGCCCAAGATGAGACGCCCCACTCCCACAGCTGGTGGCCCAAGATGAGACGCCCCGCTCCCACAGCTGGTGGCCCAAGATGAGACGCCCCACTCCCACAGCTGGTGGGCCAAGATGAGACGCCCCACTCTCACAGCTGGTGGCCCAAGATGAGACGCCCCACTCTCACAGCTGGTGGCCCAAGATGAGACGCCCCACTCCCACAGCTGGTGGCCCAAGATGAGACGCCCCACTCCCACAGCTGGTGG